GTGAATACCACTGCTATATTATTTCTGAGTCTGTATATATATATAGATTCTTCTTTGATTTTAATATATATATTTTTTATATAGATTTACTTTAATATAATACAATACTTCTGAATTTTTTTACAGAAAAAACATTTACTTTTTGGTTGAATATCCTCTTTTTTTTTTTTTTTATTCTTACTACTTTGACTATCTAAAGAGATTATTTTGTGTCCTTGACAATGCTCTCCTGCTTTTTAGGATTACCCCTGCATTCTAGCTCTTCATGCTGGGGGGACCTGTAATACATGAGAGACTTTTTGCAAGGCCACCTCAACTGTCCAGGGAATAGAGTCTTAGTACAGTTGTGTCTGGAAAGTCTTCACACCTTTACCCAGTAATCGCACTACCATGACACCCAACCACAAAAAATTTAAAAAAAAAGTAGAGAATTCAATTAAAGAGAAGATAATAGTATAGCTCGTAGATGATAGAAAAACATTATTGTCATTTTGTGTAGCCTCCATCTGCATCCACTACAGCCAAAATTCTCTCAGACATTCTATTTATTTATCCATCCAACTTCTCTTAAGGAATTAATCCCCACTCCTCCCTTGCTGCCTCAAACAATTTAGTAGCACTGTGAGGCCTTCTTTCTAGTTTGAAGACTCACTTGGTGAGGACTCATTTGAGTAGTACGCAGGTGTTTTCAATAGGGTTGAGATCTGTTGAGTTGGGTGGCCAAGAGAGTTTTTTATAACCACAGTCAGCCTCCTATTTTCAATTTTCCTCACCACCATGCCAGGAGGCATTGTCTGCAGCTAGGTAGATATTGTCAGAAGGCCTATTCAAACCTTTTATAAAAGGGATGAGGTATGGCTGGTGGATTTCAGTTGCATATTGGTGGGAATTGAGGTCAAGTTTATCTCTTTTGCTAGTTCTTTCCTTCTCTCCCCTCTTTCTCACAAGAATTAACTCAGTCCTGCTATCTTTCATGATTGCAGCATAGACCCTAATACTAGTCCTCTTAGACTTAAAGCTAGACTTCAAGTTTTTTCTTCCAACTCTTTATCAGGTCTAACTCTGATCTTTCTGCCAGTAGTATTTAAATCATAAACAATTGTGGCTTCATCCACAAAAACAACCCAATTCCATACCTCCTTCCAATTCTTCCTTCTACTAGCAAACTCCTTTCTCTTCTTCTTTTGTCCTTTTCTCTAAAAAGGCTTTTTTCTAGGTATCAGAAGCTTAAAACCAGCTTCTGAAATGATCTTATTACTAGTAGTCTTGCCTAAACCAATATTCGCTTTTTTGGTAATGTTGCCTAACTTTAAATAAGGCTTGGCATCAATAACTGACTCTACTATCTTTCTTTTAGTATTAGTAATCTTGGTTAGTCTTCCACCTCTTTTTGTATCATGAGTGTTTCCACTCCTAGATTTTGCTCTTTTGACCATATAATAAACAGTAGACTTGAGAACACCTAAAGACTTGGAAATTTTATTATATCCCTTATTTGTATGTTTATACAGGGTATAAATTTCCTTATTCAAGTCTTCTCTAGCTCTGAGGGTATGTGGTGGAATCATGGTGGAGGTAGTTGTTGTGGTGATAAGGGGTTGTGTGGTTGTGATCCAGGAGTGTGAAGACTTTTCCGGACACGACTGTACTGGAATAAGGTGGCTCGTACTCGTGAGTTTAGCGAGTACGCTAGATCTCCAATGGCGATCCACTTGGATGTGGTACTCGAACAATGTGGTACTCGAACAATACGGTAATCAATCAGAGAGCCCACGAGACAATAACCAGAATCTTGGGAGGGATTCTTCGAATATCCTCGCCTACCATATGAGACAAGCACTTACGAGTATGATACTATGCTCGCAAGGTACTTGTACTGTACAGTATGATATAGTCCCTTGCAGTTCGCACTCAGCTCCCACCCAAAATTTAATTCTGACTCAATTCCAAGTTAACCTGTGCCTGAGCTCCAGGCACAGTGGGGTTTGTGGACGAATCTTGATTACGATATAATGCGATATCGATTGATTGATTAATTGATTCCACAGACCCACCGACAGAAGGAGCATTCTTGTGACCTTCATCTTTTCATCCATTCACCTGTTCATCAAGGAGACCAGTTGAGCGCGGTGGCCCAGAGGAAGGGATATCATAGCGGATCTGATGGCAAGGAACTTACTGTATAGACCTTTTCTGTCTTTGCTTATCTCTACCCCAGCCTGGGTGCCCCAGGCCGTGTATTAATAATACCTACTTTCAGTGCATACCTCTCTTACCTCTCACCTCTACATCCAATATACCATCACTCACTTACAGTAGAATCTGGCCAAATAGAGACCGTTGCCAAGTATGGTGATTGCTAAGCTATACTTATTTGGGAGCTTGGTTAAGACACAAAAAGAACATCAATTGAATTCTCATGATCTCATGAGAATAAATAAAAGCCTTTCAATTCTGTTCAATTGCCTCTACGTTATCCTCAGCTATATTGTTCATACTATCATGCTACCGATTAGAAAACCCCTTCAGAAGCTAAGAGTGAAGGATGAAAATGAGAGGTCACATCACCCGGGTCCTAAGCCAAAGCCATTGGCAAAATGTGTGGAAGTAGTACAGGTGATATCCAGAACGTGGTAACAAGACATGCAGGAAGATACTTACAGATATGATATTTGTATATATAAGACCAGTTCAGCGAATTGAGTGGAGCTATTCACGATCACAGAAAATCCAAGTCCCCATGTGGATTAAATATTACCGAGTCCACAATGAGGCCATGAATACAGCAATGAAATTGCGCCCTCCCACTCTGGATGAAGCCTCTGGCTTTTTTAAAATTCCCAGAAGTACGATCGCTCAATGGACCCTACCGGAGGTCACTCAGAAGATTATGCTCCAGAATGGAAAAGGGTCATGCAGGGATGAACCTGCTACTTTTATCTGTATGTGGCCAGAGATGGAGAAAATGCTATTCGAGGTATTTATAGTACGAAGGGATCAAAGCAAGCCTGTTCACGATGGGTGGTTCAGGAGAAATGCAAAGGAACTCTAGAAAGTCACGTATCCTGAGCTTCTGTCACAGCAGCAATTGTTCGTCTTCTCCCAGGGCTGGTTAAATGGCTTCCTTTCGTGTCACAGAATAGTACTCCGGTTTGTTATAAATATGGCACAATTACTTCCTGAAAACTATAAGGAGGAAATCTTGCAATAGCTAAGATTTAACCGAAGGAATCGGATACTTACTCCACTTGTACTCTATTCTCTGAAATCCTCTCCTCTCTCATTACACTATATTTGTAACGACAATCTGGGTGGCATCCCAGAACACAGGATATGCAATGTTGATGAGACGCCACTACCCTGGGAGTACTTAATTAGCCAGACCTACGATATCAAGGGTGCAAAAACCATTTGGTCAAAGAGTGTCGAGTCTGGCAGTGAAAATCGTCAATGTACTATATTTTTGTGCATCTTTGCAAATGGTGTTCTCCGGGTTCCACCTATTCTCATATTTACAGCAACTACTGGTACTAAGATACGGGAAAAAGAAGGTCACCTGTAGGATAAACATGTTCATGTTGAATTTTCACCAACTGGATGGATGAATGAGAAACTATTTATAAAGTTTATCCTTCAGTTTCTTGTACCTCTCTTTGGAAAAGAGCGATCTCTTTTTGTCTTTGATCGATACTGAGCACATTTAACTCCTCCAGTTATTCAAACCTACCGTGATAATAATATCATCCCCTCTCTAATTCCCGCTGGCACTACACCTATAACACAACTTCTCAATATTTCAATTAATAAGCCTTTTAAAGGCTAAGTAAAAGAGTTCACCGAGGAACTCTGGGAACAGAAGAAAAAAATGGAGGAAATTGACAAATGGAGTGTTGGCCAATATCGAATTGTCACAACTGAGGCTGTGGGCAGAGCTTGGGATGAATGGCATCAGTGTAATTCAAGGCAGAAAATTGTTATTCAAACCTTTTGTGATATGGGAATTTCATTACTGGTCGATGGCTCCTGTGATTGAGAGTTAAAGATCAAAGGATTCACACCGGAGGAATTGGTAATAGGAGATTGGGCCCGCTCAGAGGCTGAAATGGGCTATGGAACGGCTGAGGTGGAAAATAGGGAACTTCTTCAAACCGAGAATCACTAAGTAGAATTTCAGCTACAGGATGAATAGTTTCTCTTGATATGTTATTTCCTTTTTTTTCTCTGTATATAGTGTAGCTCAATGTTGATCGTATACGCAACCGGCTTGGCAACGGTCTCTATTTGGCCAGATTCTACGGTATTCACTCACTTAATTCAGTGTACTACACTCCGATCTGTACATAATATTGGGGTTAGATGGCTTGTATTGCATTGGCACTTGCACTTGACCATTCAAGTCCACGATAGCTGTATGATACCTTCCATGATAGATGCCGGATACCGGTATGATACTGCAGACTGCGGGTCTGTAAGTACTAGTAATCTACGGCCCTCCCTTCCTCCCTCCCTTCCCTCATTCAGTTTGTGCGGGCCGTTTCGTATGCATGAGAACACTGATGGGTATCATGAATCAAGTCACTCGCTATATCCCGAGTTCCTTCTCCGCCATTTTTCATTTCTCCATTGAATTTGTGTTTATAAAGGCGGGGGGTTGGTACCTCTGGACTAATCTAATCTATGTACGGTACTGTACCATACTTAAAAAATATTTTAACAGGCAAAGTTACATTTCTTATGTAATGACATGTTTGTCTATTCTCCCCTGTTGGTGCCTTGTTGGAGATAAATGGACCTATCATACCAAGGACTAAGCGAATAGCACTGCACAGACGGGACGGTAGTCTATGCGCACTAGCAGTTATACCATGCCCCAGTAACCAATGTGGAAGGCTAACCGCTTCACTTTGGGTTCGGTTTGAGGCCAGCCTTCAATGCAACATCTTATGAAAGGAGTTCGGTAAATGGCATTAACTCTCCATTGGGTAACTTATAGATTCGAGTTGAGTCAAAAAATTAAATATCAATTGCACAGAAAACATGCTGTTGTGGCCGATTTCAGAAGTTCAAATTCCCCCGGCAAAACAAGATAACCTCATAAGAAATAATTGGGCCCAAAAAGCCGTGTGCGAAAAATTCTGCTTGAACAAAATGAAAGTGAAACAAACTAATAACCACTCGCCAGACCAAAACCCATACCCAACACCGTACAAATGCCTTCACCTCCATTGGTCTTCACAAGCATCCATTAACAGTCTTGGCTTACTTGGACTTAGCAAGACCGATAGTATTATCACCCAAGTTATAGACAGAGTAGTATCTTCGCAAGAATGCATCACCCAATATGGCGAGGGGCCCTATGGGCTCAGGGAAGTCCATACCCATGAAGGCGCTAATACACGAACCCTGAACTTCAAGAATGTAGTCATAGGCAGTGATGGTGAAGTCGTGACCTGCAGGCCCCCCTCTATTAGTAATCATAGCGAGACAAGATAACGACCACACATACCAGTAAGGGTGAAGGTGAGATCTGGGAGAGAGTCGCGCTTCTCGCATTCAACGCTGTATTGTCCATTGAATCCCTTCTTGGCTCCAATTTCCTTGTTCAGGAGCTCAGCCAAGGTGGATGGGAGCGCAATGCTACTACACGTCAGTAGATGAACTGAACCCCGAAGAGCCCAAAAAGCTTACAGAGAAGTTCCGGTGTCGACAATAGCTCCAGTGTTCTCGAATTGAGCAGTCGACTTTCCAAAGGTTATGGCCTCGAATTCGACCTCCCAGTAAGCCTTTCTGCGGACGGGGAGCTTAATGAGTTTGCCCTGATAATGGGCCTTATCGATACCACCGAAAATAGCCTCACTTTGATCATCCTTATCGCCGAGGTAGAAGGCAAAAACAGGCTCATCAAGAAGACCTTGATCGACCATTTGGTAGAAGGGAGGAACGATGTGGTTGACTGAGATTGAGTCATACCCGAGTCCCAAAATGCCATCGAACCGACCGAAAGCAAAAGCCAAACCAGGCTCTGTATGTTCAACAATGAGATAGAAATCCAAGGGGAGTGTAGATAGCATCAAGGCTTACCCGAAGTTGCCTCAGCAAAAGTCTGATCCTTGATTTTAAGATTGCCAATCTCTATGTTATCTTGAGAGACGAAGCCACTGAGGCTTCCAGAGCCGTAGCGAATCTCGAAAGAAGTACCGTTCGGCCTGTAGGTAGATGAAGTTGACGAGTCATACTTGCTATGCAAGTAGCAAGCGATCGAACCACACTGGGAGGAGGGAACCCAAACTACATCTTGATGAGTGCCACGTTTGGATCATCGCAGGAAGGTAACTTACGGTTAGAACTTCCGGTGTCAAGAACAACCTTAAAGGTTTGAGGGGGGGTTCCGATGGTAATTTCCGAAAAGTCTACACAAACGACACTAGTAAGTATTTTATTCATTCGGTTGCACTCGATTCGGAACGTACACTGAGCATTCAGAAAGTTCTGCACGCGAAGTATTAGCTCGGCCCAGATTAACGTGAACTGAGATACTTACGCTAACTGGGACTGGGTGGCCGTCATCAGTTTTGATTTCTTGGGTCTTGAACATTTCCTCGTCAATCTTCTCCGGGCGGATTCCCATGTATTTTTGGCCAAGGGCCCTCATTTGGGTGTTAATGTCATGATGAGACTACCGAGTCAAGAGTGATTGTTAATCGGGAAGCCCCAAAAACTGGGGAAATAGGAAAACTGCGGCAAACTTACAAGCTGCTCCGTCAGCGGGACCTTCTTCAACGGTGCCCTGTGGACGCCAGCCATAGCGGACCCAAGAAGGGACCCAGCTGCAAAGATGATAGAAGACTTCATGATTGAGAGTATTCGCTATCTAAGCGATGTCACTGATTTAAGGAACTTGAATGATATAATGAATAGAGAGAGTGAGGGGGTTGAGGAAAGAGCGATAGGATTGCGGAAAGGAGAGAGGGCTGGGGAACGTGCTCGGGGGATGATGGGTCCGATGGCGAGGCTGGGGAACGCCAAGCATTTGACGTGTGGCCTCCTACTCTCGAGATTCATTCGGTAACTTATCATACAAGTACGGTAGACTGTCATTCAATTTATTGAGTCTTGGCCCCTTTCTCAGGCACGAAACAGGCCACGACGTCTCGGTGAATCATCAAGGTGTGGCACCTTACCTGGATTTTGCCTAGACTTTGCTATATGGAGTGCAACCGCTACCGTATACGATACCGGCAAGGTAGCTCATGGTGACACTGCTCGAATAAACAGAGGGCGACCAGTGCCTGGTTACTAAGCAGACCTTATAATGCATGCTTCAGGGTTGTTTTGTTTCACAGGTCGTTTCCGGCGAGGATGAGGTGCTGGTATACCTGTATTACGATAATACGATGATACAGGTATCATAACTTAAGTATTAATAGGCTTCATCGTATCATACCCACGACGAAGCTAGTAACGAACAGGGGTATCACACCGATGTTTGGTCAGCAAAAGGGGAAACGTCAAAGCAGGGTAACAAAAGATTGTTCGTTTCTGTGAATGATCAAGTAAGGCTAGCGAGCGTAATGAAATTCCAACTTCAATATTTGATAAAAGCTCCCAGATTTTGCGGGAGAAAAAAAGGACCACCGGGGGTGTGATATCTAGAGAGGCTTCGAGTTATTCTCATTTTTTTAAAAAAAAATTATTTGGGTTATTGGAAGAACAATGAGACTGCTGACAGTCTGTAATTTTTTTATTTTTTATTGTATTGTAAACCCATTTTAATTGCGCATTTTTTTTTAGATATGATATAATAATATTATTATGGAAATTGTATTGTTTATCGCTGAATAAGTGGTAAGTTATGACATAAGTTACGCAGGACATAAAAAAGTAAGGGGCACATGCTGCTTTGCTATGATACGAAAGTGGCAGGTTTCATATCAAGATATTATGCTAGAGAAGGTTCACAAAAATACAAAATATTGATGGAACCATTGGGAAGAGGAAGGTCACCGTGACTATTTTCCATACACAAATGTCTACTCAATTCCTAACTCTTTATGAGTGGTATGCCAATAAACTTTCAAATTCTGCCAAAGCGTGGTTTTCTTGTTAAGAACAATAGCCCTGACATGATTTTGTGGAAAGTTTTGTTTACTCCTCGGAAGATTCAAGCCCATTCAAGGCTTTCATGGAATAAGTATGCAAAATTGGCTATTTTTGATGTCAAATCGCTTGTTCCATTCACTTTTTTTTCTTCCCACTTGTTTTGAAAAGGGTTTTCTGTCAATTTGGCAGTTTTCATAGAACAAATAACAAGACTTTGGACCATCCCAGCGTTATGGCGAGCGGGAACTCCTGCAAGCCTTTGCGCTTTAGTGCTGTTGTTGTGCAAGGGAGGTTGGTTGGGAGGTTGCCAAGGCCGGGGGCACGTTCAAAGGCCCCTATTCAGGTAATCTTGATTTCTTGTTGCCGCTTTGCCCAAAAGACTCTTTCGCAGACCAGAAGGTCCGTTTCTGTGAAACCCGGTCCTTTTCTAACTTACCTCCGGACCATCACCTAGTCTATCGCAGCAGAAATCTCTACAACGGGGGGCGACCCTCTCTCAAAGCCTATCACTCCTGCTCAGGCATTTTTCGAATACAACGGAAAGACAGCTATTTCAAAGGGAGAGAACTGTAGCTGATCCAGCTTTATCATCGTTCGCAATGGCGGGCATTGTACGTTTCCGGCGATACCGACCCCTGTTGTTACTTGCGGTTATCACAGTTGTCGTTTTTGTCCATTTTACTTCCTTCAAAGATACCAGTGCTGCCTTCCCAGTTGATCGACTGAAGTCCCATACAGGATCGAGCTCTGAAACAAAGCTTGACCAGAGGCCAGTGGGGGAGAAAAGGCCAAAACCGCCCCCAATTGTGCCGATTCCTCCCATTGATAAGCCTTCACCCAAGCCTCATACAAAGCAACCTGCAACCAAGTCAGGGGCTCTGGGGCCGAGCAAATCTCCGGCGACTGCATCGGTATCGCCTAAATCCACACTTAAGGAAGTGGCAATTCCGACTGTTCCATCTGTTAAACATCATGATCACAGCACCGAAACTTCCGGGGCTGTTCCTGCTGCTGGAGGTGATCGATGGGTCAAGTTACCGGAACACTTCCCCGTACCTTCGGAATCAATTATCCCATTGCCGACTCCTCAGCCAGAGAAGATTCCTCAAATACAGGCCTCCTTTGGTACTGAAAGTGAAACCAAGCGTAAGGTTCGCCTCGAGCGCCTGGAGGCTGTTAGGGATGCCTTCAAGCGTTCATGGAGCGGATACAAGAAGTATGCATGGGGCCACGACGAACTTATGCCCGTGAGTAAATATTTCAAGGACCCTTTTGGTGGCTGGGGAGCAACCTTGGTAGATTCTCTGGACACTTTATGGATCATGGGTATGGAAAACGAGTTCATGGAGGCAGTTGACGAAGTGGCCAAAATTGACTTCACCACTACACCCATGGCCTCAATTCCTGTTTTTGAAACCGTTATTAGGTATCTCGGAGGGTTGATTGCGGCGTACGATGTTTCTGGAGCAAAGCATGAAATCCTGCTCACTAAGGCGATCGAGCTGGGTGATATGATATACGGCGCTTTTGACACTCCGAATCGAATGCCGGTACTACATTGGGGGTTCAGACCGTATGTAATTAATTATTCCCTGTAGTTTATAGAATAGTATCATTGACTTGTTCCTTTACAGAAGGCAAACAGCTTTAGAAGTTCGCGCAGACATAAGGTCTATCTCAGCCGAGCTTGGTTCCTTGACTGTCGAGTTTACACGCCTGGCCCAGATAACCGGAAATAACACTTATTATGATGCGGTCCAGCGGATCACAGATGCGCTGGAGGAATCCCAAAATGAATCCAATCTTCCAGGAATGTGGCCGATGATAATTGACGCTTCTGGCTGTAAGGTTGTCAGACCTAGTCCCCAACAAATGAGCACGGTCTCTGCGGTGCCCCCACCAAAAGACGGTATCTATGCTACAAGCAAGCCCAAAGACGGGGGGACAGGTGAAGTTTCGATTGTTGGTAAAGAAAAGGAGAAGCGGGCCGAAATATATGCGGGGACTGCCATAGCGAGAGAAGGTCGACCCGAGGCAAAAGCCCCGGTGGCGTCAGCTACTTGTTTACCCCAAGGGTTAAAAAACCCTTCCTACCAGAGAGAGGAAAAGTTTACGTTGGGAGGTATGGCTGACTCATTGTATGAATACTTGATTAAGGTAATACTCATCCAAGTTCGGGCATGATTAAGGTAATATAGCCCATTCTGACGAACTGGTCTGGTAGGAGTACATCCTATTAGGTGGACAAGATCAATATAAGAAGATGTATGAGGCCGTAGTTGAGGTTGCAAAAGAGCATCTCTTTTATCGGCCTTATGCAGCTGGGGATCCTGACATCCTTCTCACCGGAAATGTTTATGTCACCTCGGGTATAAAGCCCCGTTTTGATGGAGACACGGGCCATTTGGTAATTTCTCTTATTAAGAGCTGTTCTGGGGTTCAGCTAACATATTATCCAGAGCTGTTTTGTTGGTGGAATGTTGGCGCTGGGAGCTAGGGCACTCGGCCGCGATGACGATCTCAAGTTTGCTGCTAAGATCACGGATGGCTGTGTTTGGGCCTATGATGCCTTCCCTACTGGGATTATGCCAGAGTGGTTTCGAGTTGCTCGATGCAATAAGACTACTGAGTGCCAATTCGACACGGGGCTGTACCACGATATGCTAGTCCCAGCTTATCTACGGCCTACAGAGTTGCCGATAGTGGAACCCCACCAACACCCTAAGAGGGCCCCGATCGAGGTACTAAGGACAGTGACTGAAATTGCGCATAATATAATCAAAGAAGAAGGATTACCATCTGGATTCACTATGATTGGTGATAGGAGGTTTAATCTGTCCTGTAAATCATTTGATATTGACAATGACTGACAATTTATAGATATATCTTGCGACCGGAAGCCATTGAATCTGTGTTCATAATGTGAGTTAGACATCTCCACCTAAGCGCAGTCGCTCTAACATATATGGTAAGGTATCGTGTGTCAGCCGACTCGAAGTGGCAGGATAAAGGATGGAAGATGTTCCAAAGCATTGTCAAAGCCACGCAGACAGAGGTTGCGTATTCCGCAATCGCAGGCGAGTCATCTAGGGCACTATCTTTTTTGGGGGGGGAAGACTGCATATTGACTGGAATCACTCTCTTCAGACGTGACAAGGGCTCGTGGGGATCCTCAATTTTTGCAATTGGATTCTCAAGAATCATTCTTTAACGCTGAGACACTCAAGTAGGTTCACCCCCATGCGTAAAATTCTCATTAACATCATCCTAACATATCTTAGATATTTCTACCTCTTGTTCAGTGACCCAAGCGTTATCTCTTTGTAAGTTCATCTCGCTATGGCTAGGTTTCCGATTTTAATTCTAACCATCTGATCTCTCTGTAGGGATGAATACGTCTTGTAAGCACCACCTAGCTTCGGGAGGTAGCTTCATGAAATATACTGACTGATACAGGAATACCGAGGCCCATCCGCTTGCCCGGCCGAAAAAACAGTCGGCTTAGTAGTTGGCCATTAGACCTTGCCGTAGGTTAGTTGCCTGCTGTCATTGTGGGAAAACGAGGGGCAAAAGGAATAATCTCAAGTTTTGATTGAGGGTTTTTGTATGATACACCACTTTTTGATATTTATGTCCTGCTTTGTGGGGTTTTTGTCCTTTTTTGTGTGTGGGTTTCGTTCGAGCCGTGAAAAAGGGGAAAACAAAAGGAACCTCCTATTCTGGTGACGGTGGTGACCGGGTGCTGGTTTGATACCGCACATGGATACGGTGAAGCGAATGGATATCTTGGGGGAAATCTGGACAAAATTGTTTACTTTAGATCGTGAGGTTGACTCGGGTGTATAAAGGCTTTACTCAACATGCCTACGGGTGACCCAGCGCCAAAATCTGGCCGACTTAAGTCTGGCGGTATGCTGTGCTTACTAGACGTTTTGGTAAAAAAAGGTACTCGTAGGCATTCTATACGGTCCGGTGCATTGCGCATTGCTTTGATTGCGCGGTATATGTTAGAGCCGTGCTGCGGGGCAAGGATTGACAGATAATGGTGGGTGGAGGCATTCTACTCCAAGTTTGTGGAATACTTGTAGATTTAGAATCAGAGAGCGCAAATGATCTCACCTGCGTGTATCCCGCAATGCTACCAACTGTTGAGCCGGGAGGGGATTTTACACAGCACCAGTACAGTGAATCACGTTGTGCTAGATACTTGACATGGTCGTCTACTACCGGTGCCCTTGTTGAAAACAGTACGAGTACTGTTAGCTAGATGGTGGGGGGGGGGGGGGGAATGATTGATACAAATAACCTCCAAAGAATTTGAAATGAGAAAGGAGTATCACCCCGAACCCTCTAAGGGTGTATCATATATATGTAATATAATTCCCTTAAAGATTTCCTCCCCGCTTTTCCCCCACCTTCTCGGGAGGAGGGTAATTCCGGATATCATACTTCTCCAACTGCCCCATCCACTCTGCCCATTCTGTCTGCCATCGGAGTGAGTTTTTGTGCGCGAATAGCTCTTCCTGCCCAGGATAGACAAAGTCGAGATCAAGAAAAAGCGTGATGTGGTATTGTATAGACACCTAACTTGGTTCTTCTCTGAATATCGGAATGGACAAGACCCCGCTGTACTGTACCATGTAATTCCCACCAGCCCTTGAGAAGTTATTTTTTTTTGTCGGCGCAGTTCCCCATTCTGGGGGGTTTTTTTTTCTTTTTCTTTCTATGATATTTCGGATTTCTGGATGTGTTGAATGACGCACACTTCAATAGAGATGTTAATTTGCCCACTGTATCTATCGTACAGAATCCGCTTCTTGCGGGCAACTTAAAACCCATCTTCTGCGATTGTCTTGTCACTTATCTATCATACTCACTTTCCCGTCACAATTTTTTTTTCATATATTTTTCCCTGTGATGTCCTGTCCCGTCTGATGTTTTTCTTTTTCTTTTTCTTTTTTCTTTTTTTTTCTGTTCCGGCTTTGCTGGAAGTTTTTGAGGGTGATAATTTTACAGTACGGGGCTGGTTGGACCCGTCAAGTGGGGTATCTGGTCAGCTGGTATCATAGCATGACTGATGGGAATCCTTTCTTCGCTTTATTAAGCCCTACGACAAGCAGTCTAACCGTGAGGAGCCTGGGCTAGTATACGAGTACTCGAACGAATACCAACCTCTTTCTTCGGAAGGGCTAGATCATGTAATGTCACTCGAATAATGCGGCAAAGAGGCTGTTGAAACATCTCGCACTACTGTGGTGTCACTCCTACTATCATACTGATTTTTTCTCCTTACATCAAACCTGATGGCGCATCTAGACCTCCTGGACTACTCGTATTGAAGATAACTCCTTGCCTTTCTCTCACACACCTCTTTTCTTTGTTATTGTTATTGTTCGCTCAAGCTATTTGTCTTGCTCCAAACAGTAGATAGTCGGGGTCTTCAGCTCTTCCCTTTGGAAACATTAAGCATTCGAGTTTCTCAAGCGATCAATCACTTCATATCTCGTATCATTGTTCTATCCAACATTCTCACAACAGATGCTTTTGTGGATGGAGAAAGGAAAAAAAACAAACAAAAAAACACCAGACAAAAAGTATACTATATGGGGTCTCGGGGTGGAACATTTCCAAGTGGGGTAAACGAGTCCCTCGAGTTCGTATCGTGAAAAACGTCCTGTGAGGGCGTTGTGGATATCTCTTCGGCCTAACTTGCCGGGGCTGGATGTAGTGTTAGGCACGAGCTGGAAGACCATTTTCCAAACAGAGGAAGCTGTCGGGGGTGATGCTTTCACTCGCGCCGTAAGGATTTTATTGGTTGAGTCGGGAAAAATGTCTTGAACGGGGTTATTGTATATTAGGAATCTTGTAGCACTCCTGTGTTGTACTTATTAATGTATTATGCAATGGCCCTTACTCTTGGCCTTTCTAGCCATTTGTACAATTTGTTGGTCCTCTAGGCACCAGAGGATCTCGCTGTTGGCAATCAGCTTGGGAATGTATCTGCTCCCACGCCGTGTCTAATACCAACTGAGGTAGTGTTATCCTCAACCTCAGGTGGAAATAATAATAATATTGATGATAATCCACCTGCTGGCAGGGCAGATAGATATCCGTTCACACGGGGAACATAGACTAGCTCGCGCAGTGGCGGAGGCGTCGGGAATCAATAAACGCTTGGAGGATTTATATCAGGAAGCTCAAGAGTTTCAATTCCCCCCCTGAACGATCCATCACGTGGAGCTGGAAAACAACAGAATATTGTATATCGTGCCGTGTGGGGGGTAAGAGATCGAGGAGCTTAGTTCTCCTCAATAGGAGCGTAGGGCAAAGTAAATCGTGTTGTGATACGGGGGGGTATTCGCGCTTCTCGGCCAGGATTTTGAACTCCGTTTTTCCTAGCGGGTGGCACATGCCCTCTTCCGTTCCAACTATTCAGAGGAGAACAGCACATGCCCGTAAACGGGAAACCGATGCCCCAGTGCTCGTGCTTTCTCCGGGGAGATTTTCCCTTCTACATTTGTAGTAGTGAGGACGGGCGAGCTTTTTCCATGAAGGTATGAAAGTGTATTCGTAGTGCGTGACTAGCAGGGTGTCTAACTTCCCAGGGAATTGTGAGCAGATGCGACGCGGCCAGCAGTTCACGATATGCTTGAACTCGATAATATAGCGAAATGTTTCCCGACATGGCGAGCATCCGGCACGACGAGCGCTGGCTTGTAAGGTGCTTTGAATTATGGCGGGATATTCTGCCACGTTAGGCATCGAATATATTTGTTTCCTCCATGAGCCATCTCGTAGATTGAATTCGATGGTGTTGGGCCTTGTTGCCTCACATTCACGCAATCTCAATGGTCTTCGATGCTAGTTGCGCGACTACCAATATACTATGCTTCTTCGGAGGAAAAGGAGCGGCCTGCGCTCGCTATTATACTCGAGTATTGCAAATGGGGAAGGCAAACCTTGGCCGGGGGGCGTAGGTATTCGGGTTTTTGAGGAACTCGAGCACTACAGTAATAGAAGGTGGGGGCGGGGCCATTTGGGCCTTCGAGGGGAGCCCCTTTCCACCCACCCATAACCCCTTAGACTCCCTTCGCTCTGCATTGGGCGGTTCGCAAAAGGGGGGTCAACCAGAACCCAGCCACCCAATGACCCAGTGATCAATTATCACAGGAAATCACTCACCTCATCCGCTCATCGTCCCCATCTCTGTCTGACCGCCTTGCGTCGTATGATTCAGGTGTCCATCATGACGGCTAGGCAAAATTCCCCGGGCCCGGGCATGGTAATCGAGAAATATCTTAGCACTTACGTCACTTGCCGTATGGGGGGGTTTGTATTTGGCGGTCTTGGAATGCCTACCTGTCCAGAACACACAGCTCTTCCCGGCGCAGGGACAAAAGAGCTAACCATTCTCGATTGCTTCACCTACCCCCCTCCGGGCGTGGGGGCATGTCCATTATTAAATCTTATGAACAGTCCACGTTTCTGGAAGATGTATAAAACTGCACCTGCTCCGGGTACTTGGCGTGGGGCACTAAGCCTATTTTTGACGGAATGACATGAGATCCTTCAGAGTTGGTTTCGGTGAGATTTGCTCCTTCCATACTTGTATTTTTCCCAAAAGTAACAATGCGGTACTCGCGCGTACTGTACCCAGTCGAACTCGTCCAGCGCAGTGACCTTGGTCATTGGCTAGCCAACTAGGGAGCAAAGTTGATGGGTGTTCTTTCGCGTGATTGGCCTGCTGATTGACTTGGTGCGCAACATCTGCTCTGCATAAGCCTAACTTAGTTGGTTAGTAATCGTTTCATCCTTGCACCAGCATAATGTATGGCTACTCTGGTAAATCATATGGTATCACTGATATTGCTAGGATCCTATAGTGATATAGGCACACCCAAAAGTAGAAGAGGCTTTTGGTGGGTATCCAAGTAGTAGTTCCCCCACCGGAACATAGTGCATCTTGACAAACGCCGTTGCCCAGGTTGGCTTGATCGGGATATCAGCCCTCTTCCTTCACCCGGTTTGGGCAATTATGAATAACATCGTGTGTCTTCCTTCTAATACTTTGATACCCCAGCCTATTACGGCCGACACACCACTCAATTGTGCTCCAGAGCGTCGAAACCTAGAAGAGACTCGCGTCAAAAAAGCGCTTTCCGTCTCATTTTATTAAAATCTCACCTTCGAATGTTCTACAGTAGGGGGTAGGAATCCTAAGCTCGGAAATATGGCAAACATCACCAGCCTCCGACCAAAGTATTTGGTCAGTGAGTGAAAGATTGCCAAATGCCCCCGATTTTATGGGGTGAGTCCGATACAGGGCTCCGCCATTGGAGCACCGGAGCCTCCGAGTCTAAGCATGTCTGCTCCTGCTGAAGGTGTAGTAGTAGTAGTAGTAGTGGGGATTCTTTCTTGGGCTTTCCTAGTCCCCCCCCCCGGCATACCGAATTGCAATGCCGAATTCGCCATTTTATAAGCTTTCAGCAGAATTCTCGGTTGATAGAGGGTTCCGGAAGCCTTCGGTTCAAGGTAGCTATATACGTCATTGGCCGTTGATCGGGTTCTGCGATGTCTGGCCGCTCTCCCGTCAGATGGGTGATATATCATACCGGGTCGAATCGAGTTAAGCGTCTGATGTTCCGGACGGTGCCGTGGTCCCTCTTTCCCGGTTGGGGGAGACTCCCGACGCTATTCTGGAGATCGCAGGTGCACTGATGCTTGGGACCTCAAAGGTACTGCACAGCACTTGTGCCTGGCCTAAAGCATCTGAAAATTGAGACTGCCTGGCGACACTCGCGTTTTCAGAAACTAATACAGCACCGGCACTAGTACAACGGATTCCTGATTACTGTAATCCTAATCACGGATCCTAACTTAGTAGTTAAACGCTGGACGGGGATTTCAGCAAAACTACAACCTGATGGGGCAATGCTGAGTTTGCCAGTCAAAAACAAACCGGCGCGACAGGCCAGAAGTGGTATATCTGAAGAACAGAGGCGGTAAGTATAATAAACGTCGCGGGCACATGTCTATTCGAGCAGCATACCGGTATCACACTTCTTGCTTGCGGCAAGTACTGTAGTAGTACTTACCTTCATGTGGGAGTGGTCTCCGGATTTAAAAACGGCTGTACTGTACTCGAGTGCTGTGCTAATACAGTAATCATTCCATTGTTCTCGGTTGGAGGGGCCAAAACTGGAGATGGTATCAAGAATAGTGCTCTAGATGGGTGCTTTTGTCCTTCCAGATTCACCATTCGATAACTGTACAGTACCGGGAATCCCTGGGTCGGTTTTTTCCGTTCGGAAAGTGCCTGGTATTATGTCATCTTTCGCATAGGGTTTAGCGCGAACCTCTCGGAGTCCCAGGTTTTGGGGTCAACATCGAACCAATGATTATTATATGATACAAAGCTGTAAGATTGAGAACGGGGAAGGTATCAGTAAGCAGTGATTGGGATGAAGCCCTTTCTATTAGTTACGATATTGAGTTCACGTTTGGCACTAATTATTACCCTTGCATATTATTTGAAATTTCCGTCAAGCAACTCATTGCATGTATCATGATTCTGATGGGGCAGGGCTCTACCGTTATTCCGTTTGGTGGCCGAGAAGATGACTTGGGGGTTGAGCAGGATATGATAAGAGGCCCTGTTTGGCATGTACGAGTGCAGTATCACTGTGCTCTATTTAATCTGAACCATGTTAGATTATTACTAAAGTTACCCTTTCTTGATTGTTTACTAGTGCTTGTAGAGTGAGATTATTTCATCTCAAATATGCTAACACCAAAATTGGTTACCGGTACTGTACTCATAGTGTACCTGTATTGTGTTTTTCCACTCTCTAAGAAAAAAAGAACCCTTATATGCTAGTATTAACTTGTACGCTCTTATATTTTCATTTAAATGCCTTACATAAGAGCATTCGTTTTAACGTCCAAGATGCACTGATCTAGTATGGTGTAGACTTGGAATCAACTTGAATACTCCCGTATCTTGGCATATATCCAACATCCAGGTATGATACAAGTACTAGTGATCAAATCTGCTATTGTTAGAACTCCAAACATTCAATACCTTTACTCTTTACGAGTGAAAAGACACGGACTAAATCACAACCTGGGCACTAATTTTTCTCACAATTCTATGGGGCGGGAACCCTAAAATCAAGGAGGAGGCATGGTTTCATTGCAGCTCCCATGGACCATACGAAGACTTATCAGACAGGGCCGTACATCCGGGCAAGGCGTGGCACAAGGGTGATACGAAAGATTAAGCGGGGTGGGAGCTACCTGGTGCCCTGCACCCAAGCGAGAAGGAAAAGGGGCAGAAAGAGAGGAAAAAGTACTGATGGCAGACAAGAAGTGCTGGGTATTCATACCCGGCAACAGGGATCCGCAAAATATACAGTACCGGTACGGCGGGAAACCCGTGCGTTATCCGAGCGCCCATACAAACTCACCGCCCCTCTTATCGTGTGCTCGTACTGTACTAGTACTAGTACGAGTACTCATGCTGGTGCTTCTCACCTCCTGCGGGTATGTTCATGGCTCTCCCCCGTCGCCAAGGGAGGGACAGTTTTTATCGTCAGAATTGGTGAGATACCCTACAAGGCAAGTATCCAAGGTCATACAGGACGCGTCGTTACTCACACCATCATGGTAGGGAGCAGACACCTTCGATAAGGTTCCGCTACTCGATGGAAGCGTGCGTGGTCGGTCGGTCGGGCGTCCGAGGTAGTGATAGTGAGAAGCGGTGGTATCTGGACAACTGATGGTCCATACTCTCTCCCCCCAGCGGGATACCGGCACCTTGGGCCCCTCCCGAATACTCGTACATTCATGGCAGAGTTTCTTCTTCTGCCGGTGAATGGCCCGGGGATTCAGGTCATTTCCCCCCGGGATGGCTGGTCACCCTCCCTTTTACCCCAACCCTTAATTTGATGACGGGGTTACGGTAACGTGTTTTATGATACCTGTTTTACCTACAGTGGAAAAACTGGAACGAGTTAGTTGGGAGCCTCGCCGTGACGTTGGGCCTGCCTTCTCTAGTAAGGCTTGTTGAATTTCTCTCCGCCCGCTCCAACCGAGAGCTGAGTGTGAGAGAGTATTTCCGCTGTGCTCTCTCACCCTTTAGATCCAAAGGGGGAAATTCTGGACGTCCTTGAGTCATTCCCAATTGGTCGTGTTTTTGCCGTGAAAATGGTAGACGGCCAGGCTCACTGAAAGAACAACCGAATTGGGTACACCATTCCTTCTGTTCCATATCCAGTGTCTATGTTGATAGGAGTCCGTGGTCGAGTCTTCGAGCATAACACTTCTTCTATCATAAGCCCTTAAAACGAGTCGCCGCCCCGCCAAGGGTATCATTTTTGTGCTTTATGGCTATGAGCAGGGTGAAGTATAAAAGGTGCTTTCACATTAGGGCAGAGATGATATACGCAGCTCGAGCACTTGAAATCCCAATTTTCCTGAACAGAAACTGCGCATCACTGTACCCATTTCCCCTCAAGTTAGTTTATGCCTCAATAAGGGGGGAAGGCTTTGGAAAGAGGTAAAGAGAAAAATTCCCTTAAACAGCTAGTAGAAATCAAAATCTATACGCCTGTACCAGTACGAGTACCGTACTGTACTCGAGTAAAGTCTTGAGCATCGTAGCTCAACATTGTGGTTCCTGTCCTACGGTCTTTGGGGTCAATTGGTTTACATGATCGCTTACCCGGTGTGACGACGATTTACTAGGTGAAACGAGTTAACCGAGAGCCAGATTAGCCTATAAGTGAATCCAACCCCGGGGTCTGAAACATATCATGGGGAGAAACTTGGACCTGCACCAAATTCCCAATTTTTCTCCACCAATGGGCACAATTCGGTGGGTAAACCTTTCATCCATATCCTACTGTATGGCATGGCTTCCTCTTGGCCTCTCTCTGGCTTGAAAAATCGGGTACTTGTGATCTATTTTTGACAACTGTAGCAGGGTTTACCAAGACGGGGGCCGAAAGAATTGTGCCAATGATCCAGTTCTACCCCCACCCCCCCGTATTATAACCCTGGATCTGATTTTCCTTGCGAGCAGTGCGCGGGATACCGTACTGCAATCTGAGTCCTAGCCTGGAGGAAGGAGGCTTAAGCATGGTCGGAATTTGGGTTATGCTACCTTGAATAGCCATCTCAGGCCTATATCACTGCGTCTTATAGGCTAGCCAACACTCTCTACATCTAACTAGCTAGCTTAGGTGCTAACCAGTTCCGGAGGTATATTAGACGGTACGAGATGGAGCGGGAAAGAAGATGACTATATAAACATATTCAGCTCCCCCCCCCCAATTGTATCTACAGGCGACAAAACTTTGGCTCTACCCTTTCCCTCGGATCAATTGCACTGCACACAACCCCCATGACTTTCCAACTCGTATTGCTCAACATCCTCTTACTCTCTTCGACCTCTCTCGCACAGGTTGTCGGAGCAGCAACTGGTTTTGCAAAGGGTGTGACCGGCGGTGGGAGTGCCACGCCCGCCTACCCCGCCGATATCGCAGAGTGAGTTCTGCTCGCCCTCACGACGGGGGGAGGAATGGACGAATGCTGATTGGATAGGTTGCGAGCATGGCTCACGGATTCCACTCCCCGTGTCATCATGTTGAAGAAGGAGTATAACTTTATTGGTTCCCAGGGAACAGTGACTGAAACTGGTACGTCATTTGTAGCGTTGTCTGATTGCAAGACGGTATTATTAACCAAGATCAGGTTGCCGTCCAGCGAGTAACACTTGCCCCAATTCTGGTGGGCAAGATGCCATAAACGGAGCCAGTTGGGTGTGTTTGATTTTTCCCTTTGATGAGAATCGCTCGTTGGACGTAGAAACTGATATGATTTATAGTGCACAAAGAGCGGGTATCCAGGTATTAGTGTGACATACGACAAGGCTGGAACCACCTTCATCGATGTCAAGAGCAACAAGTGAGTCGCAAGCATCATCGGATATCGGTGAACCTATTCCTAATTGATTTTTAGGAGTATTGTTGGAAAGGGAACAGCAGGAGTGATTAAAGGAATTGGTATGTTTCCGAGTTTGTTCCTGCTTCTTCCTACTAATTGCTCTAGGCCTTCGGATTGCAAACGGAGTTTCCAACGTTATCATTCAGAACGTCCACTTTACCGTAAGGTGCCGAGAACTACCCTCCATGGACCTAAATAATAACCAATTCACTTTAGTACTTGAATCCTCAATACATCTGGGGCGGTGATGCCATCACTCTTGCTGGCTCTGATATGGTCTGGTAAGGGTTCACTCATCCCCAAGAAATTGTGGTTATTAATCTTGTCTAATAACCTCACAGGATCGATCACTGCAAGGTATACCTCTCAACCTTCAATCGCCTGAACAATCACTAACATCCCCAGTTCTCCCTCATCGGTCGCCAAATGATTGTCACTGGCTACAGCAAGGCTGGCAGGGTCACCATCTCTAACAACGAACTCGACGGAAACACGAGTTGGTCCGCCACCTGCAATGGCCAGCACTACTGGACAATGCTCTTCTTGGGATCCAGCGATTTGATCACCTTGACTGGCAACTACATCCACGACTGCTCTGGCCGTGCCCCCAAGGTGAATACGTCTTCCAACCTGCCCCAACTCATGAAAAAAAAAAAAAAATCAAGACCATCTAACACCCCTCACCCCTCAGGTCGGTGGTGCAAGCACCTCGAACGTTGTGGTCCACGCGGTCAACAACTACTTCAGTAACATAGGTATACATCCCTCCTTTAGTCGGTTAAAAAGTGCAAAAAGAAACACATCTAACCTTCCCACTTTAGGTCGCCACTCATTCGACCTGGAAACCGGCGGCATGGCCCTCATAGAGGGGAACGTTTTCGAATCCGTGACAACAACAATCACATCCACATCCGTATCGGCCGGCGGCCGCATCTTCAACGTCTACTCTGCCAGCGACGCCAATACCTGCACCGCATCCCTCGGCCGCTCGTGCGTTCAGAACTCCGTCTCGGGCAGCGGCTACTGGAAAGCGTACACGACGTCAAGCTTCTTGACCAAATTTTCCGGAAATAACGTCCAGCCAGCCTCGCCCGTTGGCGGTGTAAAGGCTAGCGTCATGTCAAACGCCGGTATCGGGCACATCGGGAACTAGGGAGTATCGGATGGGCCGTTGTTGGGCGGAAAGCTGTAGGGGGGGGGGGGTGGTTTGTGAATATATTTGTTGCACCGGTGCTCCTGTAAAATAGTGACCTTTTTATCTCCTATTGGCGATAAAGGAAAAAAACTTTTGTGAATAATTAGTTATATATATACCCGCATTGAATGCCTAATTTGTTTATACCATACGATGCTCGTTCGTTACTCCAGCCGTCAGCATGTACTGTACAGTAGTAAGGTGTGGGAAGGAAGATGAGAAAAAAAAAACCCTCTCTTAAAGATTCCGGTCAAACACACCTGACTAAATAAAATACTCGCCACAGGAATGTATAATGATAGCAAGTCCGTTCAATGATCCACCCGGTGCCAAGGAATCCTCTAACTCCTCATATCATACTCACCAACACAACACACCATCCAGGCACTATCCCGAGTGATATACTATGCTTTCACTCAACACCGCACCTCCCAACCACAGTACGATACGACACTCGATATCACAACATTATCACACACATCGATAGAAAAAAGCCTGCCAGTCCCCCGCGCAGTACTGTACACTACACGGCGCGGGTGTCCAGCAAAATATTATACTACAAAACGTCCTCCGAAAATACCTACCATTCCCGCCCCAAACGGTAGTCGGGTCAGACAGAAGAGAATCGCAAAGTGTGACACCGTAGACTACATCCGTCGCGAGAAAATCTTTTTTACCAACTCCCAGCAGCAGCTTGTGATAACCTCAGGGCAGTGAGAAAAATAAAGCAAATTTATACAACGTGTGGTAGAAATCGACACAATCTTGGGCAATTTTTTTGTTATTTATTGGGGGTGCTCCCGAGAACTTCTGACCGGGTGCTCGGAGTCCTCGGAATGGGGGAGGGTGTTCTCTTTTTCTGTTTGACCTCGCTTTTCAAGTATGTTGAATCCCAGTATCGGGTTGGACAATCTGGAGGATGGCCGGATTTTTCTGGGGTTGTGTGGGTGGGCGGGATTGTGAATGGTGCCGGGCTCGTGCGACATGATACCGTGCCGCGTAAACTGGTGAAACTAGTCTTCGCACAGGGAGGTCAAGGGAAGTGTGGGGTATAATAATGGACACGAGCTCGTTTGAGTAGAGAATATGATACTGCTATCATAGCACTTAACTTATGGGTGGAATTTAAACTTATTTACCGCACTTTACAGCACTCCTTCGGACGGGCTGACTGGACGAGATTTCTTATTGGCCTTATGTTGCGGCCATTCTGCAATGGACTACCTGTGCTCGCAGTCTTGGATGTGTTTGGTCTACAGCAGGAATAATACCAAGTAAAGTAAAGTCCTAAAATTCGACCACCACCAAGTTGCAAACTCATATGAACCATGTTTTCTCGAGGCCACTTCACCCACAACAATAATCCAAAAACACACCCGTTGAAACATATCCTATTCCCTTGGGAACCAAAGGAGTTTCCCTCCCCTTTTCCCTCCCACGATAGCCCATCTCCCCTAGGCTCTCTTGTAGCTAAGGGCTTCTCTCTGGGGAAATCGCCTAACAAAGATGGTCATCTGTTATGCGAGCCCTACTTCTAGATGCCGTGCTTATCCTTTAGTACTAAAGCGAGCAGTCACTAGCTAATCAGACTGGTGAGTTTTGGTTAGACTCCTGCTGTAAGGAATCAGGTACAAGTAATCGAATAAGTGTAAGCGAGAAGCTAGAACTAGAAAGCGAAATTCCCTAGCACGCCCAACAGTTGGGACCCTCCGTAACCTCACATCAAAACAATTAAAAAAGCAGTGGTACCATCTTGCGGGAGAATCAAATAAACTTTTGAGAGAAAGGAGCAAGTTGGAGATAGGCTATCCGAGTACTATTATCCAGCATTCGCCCCCGTGCTTCGTATTACTCGGGTGGCCTAACCCAAGCCGGACACTTTGTGTGGGAGCTATCATTTGGGTGTCCAGCCTCGACTTAGCCGCGCGAGCAGAGAATTTCGACGGCAGACTCTGATTGCTCCTTTCCAGCAAAGGGTAGATACTCGAGTATATTCGAGCGTAACTTAACCCTCTCTGTGTGTTTCACAAGCTTACCTCAGGATATCGTCTGCGCTTGTGCATTCACTAAACAACGCTTTACACCCATTTTAGTTAAGTAATAAGCTATTCCCGCTAAAGTGGGGGGGGGAAGGGGGGGTAAACATACTAGCGTCCTTTCCAGGAAGACATGCGGGATTCAAAATGTAAGCCCCATACTGCGGAAGCCATATTGTGCAGGACTCCCACAAGGCTTCAAATTTCCACATCCGCTTGCTTCTGGATAGACCATCGTATTTTGGATAGTACTCGTGGAAGTCCGCATGTCGGATCATTCCTTCAGGGATTTGTTGGAAAAACATGATGATGTCTTCACGTGTAGAACGGTCTGTGAACGTTAGTGGAAAGTGCTGTGGTTTCGTACTATGAGATAGTCCTTGCAAGCGCAATGGTTCGGATATTCTGAGCCTTCTTCCCCGAGGAGAATTAGGGTCCGCAGCCATGCGGTCCGCCCCCGCATTGACATCAGTGGAAGACCTCAGGATAGATGGCATCACGTATAATCCAGCAGCCACAATAAGTTGGAGACTCGCGATATTTATGGAAACTTCCAGCGACGGTTTATCTAATGGTCTGGTCCAAAAATCTTTCGATGTAGAATTCGGAAAATTTCTGTCTTGTTGTAGGTCGGATGGACGAGGTGGGAGCTTGGCGTCAGCAATATATCCACGGAGTCTAACGTTCCTGAGCATAGTTGGGATCATAGTGCGGCGGGAGTCCCAAATAATCTCCGCAACCCTACTCGAGTAACGTTAAATTATATTCCAGGCCATCCAGCTGATGAACATGTAGCTGTAAAGGCTGCTGAAAATTAAATTCCCTGGGAGAGGTGTTAAAGGTGCTAGAAGCAAATATTTTGGGAAAAGATCCTTGATTGATGCACCGGGTTAACGGACATCCTGTGAGCCTCGGAGCCAAGCCCGCCGTAGGAAATCCCAGCGCTGGCAAACGTGATCCCTTTGTTTGTTCCCGAGCTTCAGGACCATCTAGTGAGTACTCAAGTATTTTGTCCTTCGATCTTCAAAAACTAGGGTTATAAAAGCACGGCTCCGGTCACCCAATGGTGACCTGGCCAATGGAATTTATGGCACCGAGGGGTTTATCGATCTTTTCCTCAAGTGGCTATACTATCGCCCTATTCAGCACGAGGTGAGGTTGGTGAAAAGTCGTACTTGGCTGTTGATATTCGGACACCTTCGACTGATATGTACCTGTCTTGGCACTAAATCGTCCGAATACTTTATGAATCGACAAGTTGGATTGAAGGACAATTGCGATGGGTTCCTTAGATTGGTGGAGAAATTACATATTGTATACGGGCAACAATCACAACAACTTATAAATGCCTCACAGAAGATAAAAAGAGCTGTACCAGTAAATTTAGTCGTTATAGTACTAGCCGTACAGAAAATCAAAGAAAAAAACCGGTAACGCACCCAGGCCAACATATCCCAAGCACCACATAGCAGCCGAATAAAAAAAACATTTCAACTACCGTCCTGGTGTCGTAGATTCAAGAAAACGCTTGTTGTCTCGGTCTGGATCCCCAGTTCATCGTTCGTCGAATCGAGTCAAACCAGTCTTTGTTATCGGGCTTGCTCTGCACCGCCGGGAATGGGAATCGGGATGCCGAGACCATTACGTAGTCACCCTCTTCTTAGGGATTAATACCGACATATAATCAAAGCATATGGCTCAACTTACGGCTCAATTCTATCCTCTGTCGCCCATCAAATGATACCCAAGCAGTAGTCCGTGCATCGCACGGAACAGCAACGCGGACAACCATCGAGTCTGGCAGTATCAAAGGGCGGAAGGTAAGAGTATGGGCACAAATCGGGGAGACCTGGATTGGTCAGATTGTAGACCTCTTGATACTCGCACGCAGAACATACCAAAATTGCCGGAATCTCCGGGTGGCAGAGTGAACCTCCAGCGGCAAGATTATATGCTGTCGACCCGGTCGGCGTCGCAATACAAACCCCATCCGCCTGAATCGTCGTCAAGTGCATATTGTCACCATACAACTCCGTTGAAGACATAGCTTCCCCCCATTATTAGCATACCAATATTAACCCCCTAAACCTAGATCACTAAAGGAAAGAAGAAAGGGAAAGGAACTCACTAGCATTAGGCCCCCTATCCACCACAATCTCATTCAATACAATAAACGACTCCCCTGCCGTATGAGTCGGCGGGTGGAGTGCCGCTCCGGAGAAGATCTCGTTGGCAATGTCTTCGCTTCTGTCAAAGTCTTTGTTATTATTTACCCTGCGCATGATGGTGCCTGTGGTTTATCAAAATAGGGAGGGGCAAGGTTAGCAAAGGTTCACTCGGTCGAACGATTCCCATGGCATTACTTACCCTCAAAGCGCAGGCGTAGCCCAACAGTCACACCATCCCGTATGGCAGTAGATAGTGTGTCTTCGAACGTGCAGAAGTCAAACTTTGTCAGGAATCCCAGGGACCCCAGAGCGAAGGAGAACACCGGCGGGACAACTTTCTGGAACAGCCAACTCGCGTAAAGGACTGTGCCATCGCCTCCAAGCTAGAACTCCTATCAGACGGATTCACAAACAACTCCAGAGGAGGGGGGGTAATGAATTCACAGTGATGACAAAATTAAAAGTATGTGGCCTCTTAGCACATAACTCGGCGGTCCAGAAACGTAATCTGGATTTATATCCGGGACACTTTTCTACGAGCCCCTCCATATCGAATTCTGGTGCATCTTTGAGGACGTCCTCGACGTATCTACCCCAGGGCGATCAGCAGCTATGACAAAAGTTCACGGGTGTAACTTAAGGAGCACAAACACAGTGTGCTTGCTCCCCCTCTCCCCGCCCAACAACCACTCCACCAACCTCCTCGTATACCCGACCAGTGCTTTATCATAAGTCTTCGTCAAGATCATAATAGCGCGAACATTCATCTTGATCTGAATACTCGCTACCCATTCTCCCTATTAGCGCCCCCCCCCCAATGAAATACAGTATCATACCGGTACTCTACTCACCTAAATGCTTACTCAACTCCCTTACCCCCATAACCATATCCGATAGTTCACTCTTAGTCATAAATGGCGGATTTCTATGTGCCGCAACAACCCTATCTCCCTCCTTCCCCTCCACCTCCCCACCACTCCCACTCCCACCCCCCACTGGAACAAACTGATTCCGCATTTCCAGCAACGCATGCACAAAACAACTGCTCTTTGTACCAGCACCGATACCCTTGTCATCGTCGCTGTTGTCATGATTATTGAGGAATCTAGGGAGCAAGGGATTCCCCATCTCATCGACGGATACGATGGAAGATTTGCGGCGGCGGGCGGCTTGGACGTGGGGGTCGAATGTTATCTTCGTTTTTATTCCCCCTATCAGTTGGTGGTGGGGGAGGGGGGAGGGGGTAAAGGGAAGGCACCTGGAGGACATGGTCATCGGATTCTCTCTCAGTGTCGGTAAGAGGATTGCCTGTCACTTGCTTAAAGACTATTAGCTTTATCGGTGGAAGAGGAGATGGAAATATATACTTTTGTGTCCGGGGCGATCCCCTCATCGGTTGTTGGGATATGGAATTGTACAGTTGCCATTGTCGTTGGTTTATGGCGTTGTCGGGTACTCGGGTAGAGCAACCAGTAGTCAATTTAAGGTGCTAGTGACAATCCTGAGTCCTTTCAAGTCGCCTCTGCCTAACGGTCTGAAAATTCCACTTCTGTTTTACCAGATATAAGATTAATGGTTCAAGAGGAAGTAAAGCTATGTTTACTTTCCTATGGTGTTGACAATATAGATATTACCAACAATGATACTAAGGGAGAGGATGATGATAACCTTTACCTACCAGACATTTAAGTTCCAATTACTCCCAGTGAAGCAATACAGTATCTGCAGAAGATTTCACACTATCTTCCGTTATTACCAGTTGATTCACTTTCAAATACTACTAGACAAATCCTTTCTCTAGTCACAGTGGTTGAGCAAGCTACATATTTGGCCACTGGTATATATAAGTATATCCCTGGTTTATTAAATTTCTACTTACACTAATTCTATTTGAAGTTATCAGGAGTCACAAAAGAATCAAACCATGATTGACAGCTACTTTAAACAAGGATGTACTATTTCTACCCTCCTACCCACTACCTGCTTGTTAGGTAGAGACAATTAGAATAGACTCAAAATTGTCTAAGCCAATTGTGATTCGTTTTTGTAGATGGAGATTTGTCTAGGAAGTCTCAAAGAAATTACTTGTTTCTTTTATGACTATTAAGAGTAAAGAAAAGTAGAATAGAATCGTATAAACAATATTATATTGTTAAGATCTGTTCTCTATTGCTTGATAATACCTAAAAGTTTGAGAGACACTTCCATATTCATATTCCGTGTCTCAGTGTTCACGGACTACATCTATCTCATATACAAATTATATACCTCTCTTATTATAATTCATAATATCAGTTGTTCTCCAAAAGTGCAAACACCAGGAGACCCCGAAAACCATCACACCCTCTTTACTAATTAATATTTGTTTTCTCAGGAAACTTGACTGCTTCCAATAGTAATTATCTGATAGTCAGAGTTTACAGACTAATGACCTACTTCTTAAATTGAACTACCTTTGTTCCAATGGTCTTTCCCATTAATGAAGTAATTAGTTTCATCTTGAGTTTACATTTGCAGGAGTAGTCGTATATGCAACCTTTCTAAGTTATTGACATTGAATCTGAGTAACTCCTGATCCAACCAATAGATTTCTTTCAGATAACTTTCTACTAATTCGCAGGATACCATTCGATCAGATTGGTAGATAATCCCTCAGTCGGCAACTCCTGGTTGTCTCAGGTTGTAGAGCTTTTGTAATTATATGATATTGGTAATAATTCTCACAACTATGACACATCTCTCAACTCAGCTATGATGCTCTGCGAAGTCTATTGACTTTCTCAATAGTGTTTCCTAAGAGTTCTAAACTCTTCTAATTATTGTAGGATGGATGTGAATGTGTTGGCTCTTTGTGTAGATCCTCTAACATTCAATACTATATTTTTGTACTGAAACCTCCTATTACTTACAGCTCATACCAAAGATGGTCCATCTTTCAAGCCTAGTAACTCTCTGAGTAGTGGATGGATTTACTCTGTTCTACTTTCCAGACCTTGCCAAAGGTCTCCCCTCATACAGTCACTCAGCAGAAGTGTTCGTAAAACCGGTCTCAGATGACTAAGCTGCCTTGCCAAAATGCCATCTTTCAACAAAGTGTAAAGTTGATCATGACCGTTTACCCCATCGTGACTGTGACCATTCGCAAATCTACACCCACTGAAGCCTCCTTTACCTAATTAACTAATTTATTAATTTCCTCTAACTTTTTTTACCAATGGTTAAGCATTCTGGAAATACGAAGTATGCTGCAAAAAAAAGACCCCCACCTAAAACCACCCGAAGAGAAATGAGCCTTGCAGAGAAGGGCATGATAATCGCCTTTTCTACAACCTCCAGAACATTGCCTTAGTGGCTCAAATTATTAGACACCCATGGATAACAGTTAAGAGCTTTCTTGTCTGGTCATGTGAACGCCAATCTCTTAAAAATCCCCTTCACCCTAGTCGTACCCCTATTTTGAGTGGTGAACAGTGTCGCACAATTATACAGGTAGCTAAGTCCAATCGGAAAATGATTAGAGACACCTTTAGGGATCGCTATGTACCCAGTGTTTCTCTTGATATTGGTAACTCTTTGTACTATCCAGGGTGACTGGATATGATTGCCTATTAAATTTACCTGCATAGTGGACTGGGTACTCAGAGAAGCAAACATTAAAAAATGGATAGCCAAGTCAAGACCTAGGCTAAAGTCTGATCTTGTAGCTAAGAGATTGAGATATGCTACAGCTTATAGGGACTGGACAGCTGAGGATTTTGAAAGAGTGATTTGGAGTGATGAGTGCAGTGTGGAGAAATCTAAGGATCCAAAGCAACAATGGGTATTCAGAGAACCTGCAGAGAAGTGGTTGGCTGATTGTATACACCTAAAGAAGAAGTATAAGAGAATCTCGCTTATGATTTGGGGGTGCTTTTGGGGTAAAAGAAAAGGTCTATTAGTTCCTATTACTCAAACTATCAATAAGACTAAGTATGTTAGACTTTTGAGAAGATATCTTGCTCCTGTTATTCATCAAATGTTTTCCTTTGGTATACAACTTGAAGATGTTTTTTTTCAGCAAGATAATGCTCTTGTTCACAAGGCATATAGTGTTATGGATTAGTTGGAGAGAAATAGTATTGAGGTTGTGGACCACCCCCCTTATTCTCCTGATTTAAATCCTATTGAGCATGTATGGGTTGAGCTTAAAAAGTGATTGTACCAGCAGTATCCAAGGATTGCAGATACTCCAGGAGGAAAAGAGGCTGTTAGGAGAAGACTTGCACATGTAGTACCAATGGTTTGGGAGACAATTCCTGAGGAGTTTTTTGAGAAGTTGTTGAAATCAATACCTGATAGGATGGCTGCAGTTTTAGAAGCAAGAGGAGGTTATACAAAATATTAGCTAGTTTAATTTATGGCAGGTCAATTGACCGTTGAATGTTGAGAGGTACCAGTGGTTGTTGATCGTGAACTTAAACTTGCGCATGTGCACACCTGTTAACAATCCCACTGGCACTGCCCCACCATATGGTGTAACCTCAATTAAACATTATCTCAGATCACAAACACTTCTGCCGAGTGACTGTATATCCTGCGAACAGGATCCAGTTAGACAGACAGTAGTAACATATATGGTAGTATTCTGACACCTTCAATTCTGTAGCATTATAGTCACAGGACTCAACTAAGATAGATATGTGTGATGACATACAGGCCTCATAAGAGGGCCAGAGGAGGGTGTTGGAAACCAGAGATTCAGATTCTAAGTAGTATTACCTTACTTAAGGTGGTTCCTGTGTATCGGATGCTGGTATTCCTAACATAGTACCTACAGTATCTCATGATCCTCAAAGTTATCCCGCCCACCCCCAATACCATGCCAGAACCCCAATCAGAAAAAAAAAATTAGTAAAGAAGCAGAAAAGATAAAGGATAAAAGAAGAGTGAATAGAATGGGTAGAATGTAAATGGCTGAAGGAGAAAGAAATAGAGAGAAAAAAGAGGAGAGAGTATATGGTAGAAGTCAAGGAAGTGAGACAGCAGATGAGGAGGTGGTAGAAGTTGGCAGAGATACTATAGGTAGTGGAGCTGAGAGGTACTATTATCACAATCCATATTCCTATGACTCTCAAGACCTAAACCTTTATTCCCAATATGATCATAGATTTAATTAGACATATACAAATCTACTTCTCTAGTTTCTTTTTATTTATTATAGCAGATCAAGTTTGTATAGAGACAGGGAGGCAAAAATCTGAAAGTTCTTTTTGAATCCACTATCTAAAATAATTCATCAAAGTAGGTCAATTTCTGTGGACAAACCGAACTCCCCAGAGATTTGTTCCTAATAGCTATTTTTCTACATCAGAGGAGTCCATCATAGCATGGTGTCACTGTAGTTACATATAATACGAGAAGATAAAAAGAGTGAGTCAGCCACTCCTGTTTACACTATGAGTGAAAATAAATTCCAATTACTAATATCTCTAGCCATTTCACATGAACCACTACAGTTCTACAATATTAGATATTGCTTGAGAATTATAGTAATTGTGATAAGAGTAATTTGCACAATAGACCAAGTCAGTAAATAAATTCTATTGTGTAAAGATGAGTCAATAGAGTGATAATAATAAAAAAGAGCAAGTAAGTAGTCTCTAACCTCACTAATGGGTACCTTCTATCAACTTAAACATATTTATTTCCTTCTTACAAATTTACTATTTCTGGAAACTGTACAATCTAGTCAAAATAGGTATGTAGATATAGTCCTCCTTAGAGTAAAATAAAAGTAATATTAATAATATTATAGAGAATACATCAGCAAAACTCTAAATACATATCGTACCAGTTAACTCAAGTCAAGTATTAACTGTAACTTGTTCGCAAGGCGCTAATCACGTTATCGGTAAGGGGGTACGATAGTTAACAGGTGGCCTACTCTACCAGAGAGGAGGCGAGAGCTGAAAACTAAAGGAGGCTTTGAAGGTGTACTGAGAAACGAAGAAGTAACGGTTCAACCAAGTATATTTGAAATACTGTCTGTTGAAGTCTGTCTTTTCCATCGTGGAATCAAGTAGTCTTTAAATATACAAATTTGTTCATATTTAGCATGAATGAAACTAATCATTATTATCAAAGATATCAATCAATACACTTTGGTAAAACTAATTAAGTATCAAAACGATACTTAAAACAAAACATAAAACAAAACTAAGTATCAAACGATACTTAAAACAAGCCAAGTATCAAAGTGATACTTAAAACAAAACATAAAACAAAACTAATAACTGAGGACCCGTACCAGTTACATTAACTGTTTTCCAGCAAGTTCACTGAAAGCACAAGCAGTGACCATTACAAGAAGAGCTAGTAAAGCTCAAATGGTATATAAGCTATAGTAGTGGAGTGGTAATGACAGGAAATGAAGGGGAAAAATTAGATATGGATACTGTTGATAGTACTATATTAAACAATATGCTTGGACAAAATACAGCAGTAAAAGTCATTATTGGAACTAGGTAGGAGTAACAGGTGAAATGGAGTACAGAAATGATAAGATCAGAGGCTACTTACATACCCCATTCACAGCCCTTACAAAATATATCTCTTAATACAAGAATGCTACCTAGTAGAAGTATGAGACAAGAGGAAGATAGTCAGAGTAGTACTTCACAATTTACTGCTGTAGTTAAATTATGGCCCCATGGAGTTAAACTGAGAAATTTCCAGATCTAATAAAAAAGATTCTCCTTGCAGCTCTGCAAAACTTAGAAAAGGTTCTAGCATCGAAGATTTATTATTCAAGGGACAAGATTTAACTCCGCATTATCAAATTAAATACTTTCTCAACCTTCCCATTAAGTTGATCAAGAGAACACAGGAGGAACTTGCTCTTCAAGTAGCAAACAGCTATTAGGGTACAAGAAAATTAGCAAATTTAATTTAACAATAAAAGCGTGATTGGATTCAGCAAAAATATATTGTAAAAGGTTATGGTAAAAAGAGTGGAAGAGTCCAGAGTATGTTAGAAGAGAAAGGGACTCTTTTAATAGTACGAAAGCAGATTTCTAGTATTTCAGTTCCCAGAGAAAGGTTAGTGCCTTTTTTTCTGCTATCTTCTCTTCAAATTTCTCAGTAGATATATTCTATATACTATATTTAATATATATCTAATGATAGCTTGTAATAGTAAGAATAAGTAAATAAGATTTAATTGATGCCATAATATCCTATTGGAAGAAAGTCATCAGCAATAACCTAGAGTAATGTACCTACAATCACTATAAGACAATCGAGTAGGTAGAGATGATATCAATCTATTACAAAATTTATACTGAATATATTCTCCTAACAGCTTATAGTAACTCCCTCTAGTACACTACAAACTATCAGCTCTTCCAAGAAATATGCTAATTTACTCTTTTAAGAGTTGAGTTAACTTTTACGTTTAAAAAATCAGAGTCTACAGTAGTATCTTAAAAGCTGTTTAGCTTAAACACAAAGCTAAGCTCAAGTATCAGATGACTTTTAAAATACCTGTCACGAACGTGGCTTGATATGAAAAAGGTTTTCACGTGACACGTAGTTATGAGTCACAGGTATGTTATTGTTTCACACATATGACTTATTCGAGTCATATGAGTTGTTATGACTCGGGGATTTGTGATACTTTCGCACATAGCTCAAATATGAGTCATGGGATGTGCACCTGGTGAGTATACCTTGCGAGTGTGCCTTGCGGGTATGCCTTGCACATAAGATTTATGTTTCACACATGACCTCGTTATGAGGTCATAGGTTTCACGCATATGACTCAGTCGAGTCATATGACTTGTTTATTGTGTTATGATTGGTTTATGAGTTTTTGCACATGACCTCGCTACGAGGTCATGGGTTTTGAGCATTTGACCACTTTGGTCACATGATTATTTTGTTATGATTTGGTTTTACACATGTGACCACTTTGGGTTACATGACTATGGGCGAGAAGAATACTAGATAAGGAGGCCAATGCGGCCAAGGAGGATAGGTTCTTCATGCTTAGTTCTAAGTACTTTTCCTTGTCCTTGCCGTCACTTCGCACCGAGCGTTGCTTTCGCTATTGTGGTGGGCCTTGATGCCTTGGATTCTGGGGGAGATATCTGAGTTCGCTCAGTAGTTCCTAGGGTCTTTGGTGTTGAGGTCTGTTAGGTGTTGCGTGGCGGACTACTTGTTTGCTTCTTGTTTCATCGCTTGATGGTCTCTCACGATACTGTCACTTCAAACTTTTCATCACGGTCACATACGAGCCCCTTTCGGTAAAACTTCTATGACTTCCTGTCTATTGTCTACTCGCAGGTTTCTGGTTCGATTGGAGGGATTGAACATTGTGTATGGGGGGATCACCCGTGTCGTTCTTTGGGCCAGCTCATGTCTTTTGTTGGGTTTTAACAGAGTCCTTAGTTCTCGCGATACAAAACGCCCTTGGGTTAGACTGATGACCTTCCCAAGTGTCAACACGTCGTACCGGCTGCATCAATCCACTGGGGAGGGGGCCTCGCCAGCCCCCGCCCTCCTCGTTACTACATGTTTCTACGGTTGAAATCCTGCGATGTTGTTTATCACCGTTCCCTTGGAAGGTTTGTCCTTGCGGCATATATGGTGGTTCAGTCAGGTGTCACCTCCTCGCTACAGTGGGGATGGCTTTGACCCTGAAAAATCTTACTCCCTGGTGTGGTTATTCATTGCTACCTGCGGTGGTGTGGGGCGATTGGCTGCTGGACACTTGTGTTGTCTGTGTGTTTGGGTGGTTCGGTTGTGGTCTGTGGTTGGCGGCTTCACCCATTGCAAGTGGGGCCTACCTTCTGTTTGTCTGCTTCTGTTTGTTCGCCCTCAGTCTTCTTGTCGCGTCAGTTGGGGATGCCTCTTGCCCCTGGTTTGGTCCGTACCTGTTGCCGGACCTGTGGGGCTGGCTTCAGCTGGCTCTGCTTACTCTTTCCCAACTCGTTCGGATTTCGGTTCAGCCGGGTTGGATGGTATGGCTGGTGCCGATGCCTTCTGGTCTTGGTGCTGCCTCCTTTGTGGCTCCCGGCTGTGGCTGGTGGGCCCCCCTCAACTGTACCTTGTTGAGGGTTGGGGCTCTGTTCGTGTGGCCCAGACCAATGGCTGCCTGGTGGGGCTGGGTATACGCTGTCCTGTGCTATCGGATGGTTGATCTGTCTGAGGGGCTGGGGGGGCTGGATGGGCTCTGTGGCGTCTGGTGTGTGGGGCTTGGGGTGGGCTGATTGGGGGGGAGAGGCACCCGCGAGCACCGGTCGGGCCTGGGTCAGGTTGGGCGAGGTCTAATTAAGTGTTTCCAGTCCGGCTTGGGCTGTTGGGCGAAGCTGCTAAGTGCTGTAAGGCTCCTCGATGGACCGGTTGGCTGATGGCCACCTGTGCGGATAGTGGGTTGCGACCACCTGGTTGGACTTGTTTGGGTGCTGCGTGCTGGGTTTCTTGGGGATT